CGGTTCAGCGGGAAGCGGGCACGGAGGCACCGCGTCCCTCCCGCACGCAGAGCCCGCAGGAGAAGGGCAGGGGACCCCCGGGAAGGGGGACCATAGGGAGCCGCTTCCCGCAGGCTGGGGCTGCTCCGGATTCCCCGGGAGCCACGGGAAGCAGAAAGGGCAGGAACGGCCTCCCTGCCTCCTCCTGCCTCCGCTCCAGGCTGGCAGGGCCGGGGCTCCCTCCCCTGCGCGCCCTGAAATAACAGCTCCTTAAAGCACTTTAAGGCTTTAAAGGCTTTCAAACGATCACTCGTGTTTGCAATGTTACCTAAGGCTTCTTCCAGCAGTATTAATTGATATACTCCAACCATGTTATGAATGGTATTTTTTGTAATGTTATCTTTGAAAAATGTGTTATTTTTATAGCTGTATTTGTTTTTTGTTTTATCTTGTTTTTGTAACACAATAAAAGCACACGTCGCAATGACAACAGCTGCCAGCCAACGTCTCACTTACACTGAATGGCAAAGTGCTCTCCAGCACCGGGGTCGCTCTGCAGGGCCATGGGAGCCTCCGGGAAGCGCCGGAGGCTGCTCTGGAAAGCCACAAACAAGAGCGACGCCGAGGCGAGCGCGGATGCCCACTTCTGTATGAACAAAACCATTTCCTCCAGAAAGGACCACAGAACAGGGCACGAAACCGACCGTGATCTTGATCATGAAGACACAGCTTTCCCCCTTTGGAAAAAATCACTTGCTAAAAACAGTTTCCACGGGAGAATCGTGTTTAGTTATTAATGTCTCAGCTATTTCTAGTTTTAACCACATACTGCAAATACAGGATTGGAAAGTGATAGAATTAAAGAATCTTTCAAGAAGAAAAGTGACATGTACCAACTAATACTCAAGGCAAGATTGTTCTTTTAATACAATAAAAAAGCTGTCAAAAGAGCTTGATAACTGACATATGAGAAATACAGACAAGAATAGTCAAATCTAGATATCTGCAATGAGCTCAACAGAGGAATAAAAAGATAAAAATAACCTGGCTTTAAAAGCAGACTTGCCTGTTGTTGAAGGCACTATATCTTTTCCTGTATGTTCCAAATGTGCTGGACTGTAAAAAATATTTTTAAAATATGTAATCATCACCTTTTCTACACTCAAGAAAAGCGATTATTAGTCTCCTTTTGCTACTAAAATATTAACATACAAGGTTTGCATTTGAGCAAGGAACACAGAGGTGCGCCGATGGCTACTCACTGCTATTGCTGAGGCCGCTGAGCCGTAGACGTTGTCCGGGGCCACTAACCCATTCACAGACTGATTCTGGAGAAAACTGTTAACAATGCAGTATTTATTATAGAAGTGTCCACGTGTGCTGCTTCCCTATGGAATACTCGGAACCCAGGGCCTTCCCGTGGTTCCTCCTCTCAGCACGGCTGTGGAATCCCTGCTCCTCTTCCCCACCCCTCCAAGAAAGTTAGAAAATTGGAGCTTTTCAGATACATCTGAAATCCATAGCAAAAATTTAGAAAAACCATTAAAAAAGAGCACACGGAATAATAAATACGGGGCGCAGGAGTCGCCCTCCCGCGAGCGCGCGCCGGCTCGGCGCTCTCGGCTGCGCGGGGATTGCGCCCTCCTGTTCGGGGGTCCCGCCTGCCCGGCCCCGGGCGCGCCGCCCTGTCCCGAGGGCGCGGGCGCC